TGATGATGGAGGTGTTTCAGTGATGCTGCAGGTGTTGGGATTGTTTGCGTATGTTGTTTAGAAGCTTTTGAAAACAAAAGACCAAGAAACACACAAGTAGATTTGAAGATTGGCTTCAAAACTCAGAAATGATAAGTTTTGAAGTGTTTTTGGTGATTCTGAGTTCTATGTGTTTTCAGGGCTTAAGCATTTGTGTCTTTTGTGGCAAATGGTTTGTATATCTATAAGCAAAAGGTCTTGAGTGTGTTGGACAATCAGAAGTACAAGTTTTAAGCTTTTGGCTAAGTTACTTGATTTTGAAAAAAAGAGGGAAACCAAGTTTCAATGTAAGGTACAAGCATGTGTTGGGTGATTGTAAGTGTCTAAACCATTTCTCATGAGTTATAGGACTTGTGTGATCAGAAGAAAACAAGTGCAAGGCTCAAGAACAATTTTTGTGCAAAAAGTCAATTTATCAAAATGACAATGTGCACTTTCTTCCAAAAATGGATATAAAGCATGTCCATGCATTGAATGCTTGAAATGAAACCTCTAATAGCTGTGACAGCCATTAATTATGAAGTTCCTAACAAGTTTGAGGTCTGCAAAGTAGAGTTTATGCAACATAACTTTGAATTTGAATTTTGTTCATCACAAAATGCCTTGTAAATCAAGTGACAAAACCCTAACTTCATCTCTTCGATTCTACCTACTCAAAAATGATCTCAAGGAGTTCTTGGATATTTTAGAAAGCTTGCAATGTGATATGTAACCCATCTTTGAATTGATTTTGAATATTCCCCTTGGAACTATATGAAAAAGTGCCATGAATTTAGGTCAAAATCCTGACCAAATTAGGGCAAAATTTTACTAAGTGTTTTGTTTCATGACCACATGTTCTTAAAATTATAACTTGAGATCCAAACACTTTTGGAAGGAGTTGTGTAAAGAAAAGTTGTAGATTTCATGGAGATCTAAAACTTTCATGTTGGAAGTTTCTCTTGAATCATCTTGCATCATGGTGAAAAATTTGTTCAAAGTTGTGAGAAAAACATGAAATTTCTAACACTTAGAAAATTTTCTAAGTTTAGAAATTTTGACTTTTCAAAATGAAATCTTGAATTTTTGATTTCTTGAAGAATAAGTTTCACATTTTGACATATTTTGATAAATTGTGATCTTTGGCATATGATTTTGACCAAAAAGTCAAAGTTTGACTTTTCAGTATACAATTGACTTTTGATCAGTTGACTGAAAATTCATCTGTCAATCCTTTGAACTTGAGCAATGTTTTGAGCCATGTCATTAGGTAAAAGTGATGCAATTGGACTCTTGAGATCATGCCTTAAACCAATTGATCATTTGCTGGGTCAAAAATCAGAAGTTGCCATTTCCCAGTCAAAACCCTAATTTTGACCATTTTTCCCTTTTGCAGATTGGATCCAATTTCTTGAAGAATTGTGATCCAAACTTGATCAAATGATACATATGAGTCTAAAATGTTGATGTGGATCAAAAAATTATGAAGTTTGACTGTGAATTGGCCATAGTTGATTTTCCCCCAATACAGTTGATTTTTAGGCCAACTGCTCAATTGACTGAGCAAAGATGTGATCTAAGGCTTGAAACTTGACATGAGTAATCTTGGGGGTCCATAATGATCCATGAAAGTCATATGGCGTATTGGAAGTTCAAAAATCCTTGTGCAAACTCAAACCCTAATTTTGGTCATCAGTGCTTAAGGGGGTGTCTTGAGCTGATCAACCCTAGTGCAGTCTTGAGCCAAAGGAGATCTTGTGAGCAAAAATTCTTGATAAGTGAGAGGGAAAATTTTGGGGTACAACAGGACTGTAGGTAAAAGTTCTATCTAAAACAACAGTCCCAGCGACGAAGACGATGGCGTGTCCAAGCCTGGTTGGACAATTTGAATCTCGTGCGTTTTGTCTATTACTTCTTACCATTATTCTATATAATATATTATATGTGTTTTAGACAATGAATGATCAGCTTGGCTCAGTGTCAAAGGGGAAGGGTTTCAAAACGCGCGTGTGTTGGAGGTCAGGGGTTCGACCCCTGCCTCCTGCATATTATTTTTCTCACAATTTCGTTGCAGATCCAGTAGTACCATTTCAGACGCGCTCACTATATGCCTCAAATTCATCAACATTAGATCATTCCTTGCCCAGATCTTACGCTTCCAATGAAGCTCCCCATGATGGACATTCCTGGCACAATCACACTGGATCCAGCGCTGCATTGGGCCAACAGGATTGGGCTTTGGACAAAATTCAGCAAGGCACACCCCATTTTGCTATTTCATATCAGGCTCATTTTAATTCTTTTTTAATTTCTTTATTCAATTATTGTTTATTTAATTACTTTACAAAAATCATTGTTTTTTTTTTTAAATCACAAAACATTATAATTAGGTTTTTTTTCTCTTAAAATAATTAATTTCATTAATTGATTATATTAGCTTAAATTAGGATAATTTAATTCCCTTTTCATAATTAAAATTTATTAGAGATTAGTTTTAATTTGCAAAAATTAATTATTTTCTCAAATAAAAAATGCAAAAATATTTTTCTTCTAAATCAATTAGATTCATTAAACCTTAATTCCTCGTATTTAATTTATTCTCGCGCGTATTTATTTATTTATTTTTTTCCAATTATTGTATCTATTTCGAGTTTGTAATAACTTTTAACTTAGGTTTATTACTGCTTTTATTTACCGCTTTCCCCCAAAGTTTGGTTATGTAATTCCCATTTCCCAAAGCCCTGTAATAATTAGGTTTTCTTTTCGGCTTTTAATTTCTGCAATTAAACTGTTAGATAATTGATAATAGGATTGTATGCGAAAGATAAATCAATGTTTAAAGCAGTAGAAAACCCTAACTGTGCAAAGATAATTGATTGAAAAACAAACACTTGCACATGCTCACTCCTAGGGTTTTTCCCCACTTCGGTTGCCTTCGGAAAACGGTCACTATTCTCAAAACGTGAGAATTTTTAGTGGTTGTCCTCTAATTCAAAAGATCACTAGTCCCTCGATGACCCTTTCAACATTGCCTAGGTAAAAAAGTGATCTTAGAGTTTTAGGATAATTACTAAGAGATCTTGCCCTGTTGCCTTAAGTGACCATAATCGTCCCTTTTGATTGTCCCTCAAACTCCAACGATGGAGCTACCTACTCCTTAATAGTAGGATAGTGCTGTCTAAAGGAAATAAGAAAAACGAACAGTTTTTTTCGAGTAGGTAGAAACTCTTAAGTACTTGCTCAAAATAATCTTTTACACCATACACTTTCAAACAAACTTTTCAAACAAAAGTTTTCAAAAATGTTTTATCACACCCTCGAGGATTGATACAAGAGTTACCATAAAGTGAATCGCCGCACTAAGGCAATTTCAAAACTTTTTAAAAGCACACAAACACACAAAAGCAATTTAAAAATGAGCAAGTACCTAAGAGCCCGTGGAAAACCACGGATAGAAAGGGTGCTAACATCTTCCCTTTCTATAATATACCCCTTGTACTCAGAAACATCTCAAAAAATGTTTTTTCTGTTCTTTTTCCCTTTTCCTTTGTTGGATAAAATAAAAGACAGTGACGACTCTTGTTTACCGTACATTTGCGAACACAAACGCAAAAACCAATATTAACAAAAAAAGCAGTCAGTTCTGCCACCGTATTACAATTTTCTACTTACCTTTGCCATATTAGGGCTAAAAGGGGGGAGTAGTATGATATTGAGGCTGCTAGAGCTAGCATTAGCTGGTGCTACTACTGAGGGAGAGAATTCTATGATTCTCAGTTTTATGATAATAATTGTTAGGGGGGGTCCTGATGTTCTAAAGACATGCCAGACATGATGTCTAGACATCATCGTGTTGAGAATTTAGGTTCTCTATTTTGTTTGCAGCTGTGTTAGTAGATCAACTAACTACTAACTATTTGTTGTGTGTGATACTGCTTATTTTTATGCTGCTAACCTTGCATATATATTTTTCCTATATTGTACCTTTGGTGTGTATGTTTGAGTGTAATTGAAGAAGGATTTGAGGAGGGCCTCATGTAATACACTGAATTCTAAATTAATTATTTAATTAACTAATTTAGCGTGTGTCATACCCTAAATTTGTCCCCCATTAGTACTACCCCAAATTTTCGAACTTGAATTTTAAAATTCCTTTGGTTTAATTACATTAACATTTTTTAGTTTTAATAAATATTCGCTTCCATGTCTATTTGAAAATATAATTATTTATATTTAAAAAAAAATAGCAAATAATTGTTCGTCTTCATATACTTTGAATTAGTTTTTTATTTGAAATAAATAATATAGTACAATTGTTAAGTAAACATAGCTTGGAAGCATAAGGTCACGAAACTCACTTTTACACCGTGCATCACATTTTTTTCATTGTTGTAATTTATTTTTAAAATCTCTATTACTGGTATTATTTATGATTTTATTTCTGGCCAAAGGTTGACTTATGAAGCCCCTCTCTTTTATTTTAAATTCCTTTTTAATTTACTTTTGTTGTTCTTGCACCATATGATGTTTTTTCTTTGAAAATTAATGCTGACATTTTTTTAAACTTTGTAACCCCTATTCAAAATTACACAGAGGCTATTCACGTATACAATTTGTTTCCACACAGAAGATTCCACAAAAGCCAATTTCATCTATACAATACAAAACTCTCTGTCACTTACAGATTTTTCTCATGACGCAACCAGTTTTCACTCGAAGCAGAAATCGAAACCCAAAATCATGACCTCCCAAGTCTCTGAATCATTCATTTTCAAACGCAACATAACACAATAATTGCACATATTCTGTTTTTTTTAGGAAGAGAGGAAGAATAACAATAACATCTAGATTCAAAGCGAGCGCCACCCTGTTCGACCCCCCATTGAGAACCACCGCGATTCCGCCCTCTGCACACATCGGAACACCGCCGTGGGCAATCCGTCCTTTGCTCAACTACAACCGTCATCCTCCACCGAAATCCACTATGCAAACGCCGGTGATTCCACATCATCAGGCGGCCAACCCTTCTCACAGCAACAAGAAGCACGCACAATCACCTTCGTCATGTTCAGGCCCGTGAAGAACTCCGCGACCCGCCACCGAATCCGTAGAAGTCGGCGCGTCCATCGCAGATCTCTGCTATGCATCCACGCCGCGAGCTCCGCCTCGATTCGTCCAGCCATCGCGAGCGCCACCAGAGCTAGCCGGAATCGCAGCCTCCACCTGTAGTAAATCGGATCTGAGCCCATCGATCAACCTCTCTTGCCCCGCACCATCTTCAACGGAGAACAACACCCGCAATCGGTACTTTCTCTTCTGCTTTTTAATGTTGTTTGTTTCATATTGTGATATATTGTTACATGCTTGATTTGAGGGAAGTGAAAGTCATGCTTGAGATCTGATTTTACTTTTGGGTTTCAAGAAGATGGTTGAGTCTGGGTTTCAAGAAGATGGTTGAGTCTGCGAAGAGAGAGGAAACCAATAAGATAACTACTGTCTCTCTATTCACGTGTTATTCCCCTGTTATTACTTGTTTATTAGTATTTTTTTTCCTTTCAATTATTTGTTTATTTTCCATAATTAAAATTATGATTAATTTTAATATGGGTTTTGAATTTTGGTCTCACTACTATTTTAGTTAGGCACACTATCTATTTTATTTAGCACCCTCTTGTTTTAGTATTATTAATTAAATTAATTAATTATTAGACTTTTAAGGTAATTAAATTCTTTTATTAAATAGATGAATTTCTATTTTAATCGAACAAAGCAGTTTCCTTTTAACTAAACATTTTTATCAAATTAATTCAAACATCTTATAAATAATAGGATATCCATCTTCGAATAATTAAATCGGTCATACATAGTCTACTGGTTTATTATTCAAAATCAAACAATTAAAATCGACGCAATTCACCAATGAGCGACACGTGGCCAATATTTGGCCACGTGATGAGTAGACTATATCATACTTCACCCGCTTTGTGTCACACCACATACTTTAATCAAATTGAAACTCAAAATAGCTAACCAACAACATCAACTCATTTTCTACTAACATAATCAAAATCAAGATATTTTTGAAAAAGGATTAAGGAGGATTACTTTCAAAATTAACTGTGAATTGCGTCTATGATCACTCTTTTACAAAACCCAGACAAAATTCAAGGATAATTCGAAATCAATTCTACGCAATCTTATAAAAAACACCAACCAACATTGCGAACTACGAATTGAGACTCTGATTCCTCATAAGAGGATACGTAGGCATACAACTAAAATTATGGCGAGTTCCCCTAATAAAAAACTGAAACCCTATTTCTCAAAGATCATATTTTTAAACCCTAGTATCCTTGTGAACAAAGTAGATGAAGGGTGCCTAACACCTTCCCTTCGTCTAAGAACGAGTCCAACAACCTATAATCTCTGACCAAAAACAAGGGTTATACTTTATATTCCCTTCTTATAGATGAAAACTAATGGCGGCGACTCTCAATTTAAAATCGGTTACAACAACGTGATTACATGAGTCAATGTGAAGTGTTTGATGTTTTTATGATTATATGTGAGCCTTTATGGTAATTTGTGAAATTATGATGAATATGAAGTGTACCATGATGATTGAGGTAAACATGATGTTTGAATGTGATGATTTGATGAATATGATGTGTGATTGGTTACTATAATTAGTATAGAGGGAATTATGTGATATTGACCAATTCTGTATTTTTAGAATAATTAGAGTAATTATTTAGAATTATTTTAATTAAGATAAATAGAATAATATGTGATGTAGAGAAAATCAGGGCATTGTGGTCATTAGTGAAGGGTAAGTGAGGGAATTGTACTCACCTTTTCTACTTGAATGTTGCCTCCACTTGGGTAACGCGCAGGTGATCAAGAATAACTGTAGAAGCATTAGAGGGTAGCTACGAAGCGCGTCTATTTGCTTTTATTGAATAAAGGGTGTCTTTCTCTGATATGTAACATCGGGGTTGAGATAAAATGATTTGGAACTTTTGTCCTTTGTTTTGTTTTAAGATGTTGAGTTACCCTACGTGGTACTCGAGTTATTTTGATTCATAAGTATGAGTTACAATGCATGAATAAATTTTATGAAGTATTTACTATGAGATTTTTGAGTTATGATTTTCGCTGCATTAATTTGAAGAATCAAATGTTGGAGTATCTTGTTTAATATTTTGAAAACCCGTGTTATGAAGCAGGATGTATTATTGTGAACTTTTATATGAAGATGTGACACCCTTAATGGTTATATACTCTGATTTATTTATTATAATAATTATGAATATTCCTTAGGGAGTAGAAGGGTGTTACATTAGTGGTATCAGAGAAGGTCGGTATGTCCGACCAGGTTATTGAGTATGTAGTGTATGATAGTGGAAACTTATCGAGATAATTTCTAATCAGTGTGATTGTTATTGATGTGAAGTAGAGAAATGTCCATAAGGAATGATGTTGCACTTACTGCTACTTTGCAGGTTATTTCTTAAGTTGTGCAATATCAACCTAATGATAGATCCCATGTTTTAGAGACGTCCCAGAGGAATCATCCGCATGTTTTCAAGGGTAGTGTTGTACCCCAAAATTTTCCCTCCCATATTTCTCAAGACATGTCAAGAATCATCTCCAAGTTGCTCAAGATGGCTCAAAGTTGGACAGTCAAATCCTCTCCTAAGGCAGTCAATCTCAAATTAGGGTTTTGTGTTGCATCCAAATGGCCTCAAGTGCTCTCCAATGTCCTAGTATGCTCTCAAGTTCATCCATGTCAAATTTCAAGCCTTGCAGAGAAAGTTTGGTCAGTTAATTGCTCAAGAGGTCCAAAAATCGATTGTGCTAGGGCAAAAGTCAACTGTGACCTATGAATAGTCAAACCTCAAGATTTTTTGTCAACATTCTCATTTTGAAGGATAATTCATCATTTGATCAAGGGTTGATCATGATTCATCAAGGATTACTCAAGATTCATCAAGATTCAAAAGTTGCTAAATTAGGGTTTTGTAGGAAAAGTCAACTCAACTTTGACCAAGCATAACTTTCTCATACTTTATGAGAAATGACCCATCCAAATCTCAAGAGGATGCAATTTCCTACAATCCATCTCCACACCCCAAGATCGAGAAATGCTCTCACAAAAAGTTACAAAGTTGGATATTATAGGTCATTTTTGAAAGTCAACAAAAACATCTTTTTGGCCAAAGCTTATAACTTGAGCATGGAATATCAAAATGAGATGAGACCAAAAGGGTTGGTTAGAGTACATCTCAAGGTTTCTAAAAAGTCCAAGAACACTTCCAAAGGTTCAAAATTGAAGAAGTTATGCATTGTTGAAGTTGGGCATTTTTCCAAAAGTGCCAAAAGTCAACTATCCTCAAAACTCATATTTTTGACAAAAGGGCCCACTTTTTTCCACTTGATTTGATCTTGTCACACCACACACGTGTCCTATCTTCAATTTCATATCCATTCATTAATTTTTCTATTTTATTTGATTTTTATTGAATTAATTCATTTTAAATCAATATTAATTCAAAGAAAATCCAAAAATTGATGGAATAGAATCTTTTTGATTGATATAGGCTTCAATTATCATCATGGACCAGATCAAATCCGAATCATGCCATGTTATGTAAAAAATATTTGATTTGAGACAAATATGGAAGCTTTGTTAATGGTGGTCAAATGATATCTTGAATCATCAATGCACAAGGATTGGAGGCCCAAGATTTAATCTAATGCAGTCCCTTATACACACAGAAGCTAGAGGCATACAGGACACGACCAAAAAGCTGCAGAAACGGCCAAACCAAAATTGAAAAAAACTTTGAAAAAGTGGAAACTGAAATCATACTTAGAGCTCAATTCAAGGCAAAATCTCAATGTAGCTTCCTTGCCTGACGTTCACTGAAGCCAAAGCGATTAAAACCAAGCCTTGAGACCTCCTAAATCACACTTTAAGTACTCAAGAACATAGCCCTGTACATGGAATCGTGAATCCATTTTCTTGCATCCTTTTGCCAATTTTTTGTATAATCATGCTTGCCATTCAATTTCCAATCATTCTGCATCATTCAATTGGATTTTTGTAGCCTATATCTCCCTACCCGAACCTAGGGTTTTGGAGGTTTGCATTTGGGTTTTTGTTTTGCAGGAACAATTGGGATAAATAATTGGCATAGGTGAACTCAGGAGGAATAGACAGTCACATCCATGTTCTTGGATGGTACTTTTATGGCCTAGAACGAGTTTTGGAAGCAAGCCACGAATCTTCCTACGGATAAAAATCCGCAGATAAGAAAACCAGAGATTTATGAAGAAGACGACCACGCGTCCTCTCCCAATTGGCCAATTCAAAATTACACGCTTTTATTTTTTTTTAATTCAGGCATAATTGTTTGTTGTGCATATAATATTCATTGTTTATTTTATTAACAAGAAGAACAGATAGCTCAGCTGGCAGAGGCGTTAGTGCTTGATCCAATGGGACCTGGGTTCGAATCCCAGGTCCCCCAAAACATTTGTTTAATTTTTCTTCAGGTGATTCTATGTGATATCCAAAGTGTGATCCACCATACGCTTGCAAATATCAACGTGCCAGATGGCCTTCAGGCCAAATCTGGTGGCCAGGAGTGAAGGACCATCATGTTCCCTGGTCAAAGGCGCGCGCTGGATTGGAGAAGTCAACAGGGCTTGCTCATAATTGGGCCTGGAGATTTGCTGATCTCACCTCCTTTCTAGGCCCAAAACCCCCCATTTGGTCATTTTCTTTTCTTTTCATATTTCTTTCTTTATTTAATTGTTTTTAATTATTATTATTATTTACACTAACCAATTTATTTTTCTTAATAAAACCAGAAAACATAAAAAATATTATTTTTATTAATTTCATTATTTTATTTTTGTAAATAAATATTAACCTAATTAATTTAGTTTTAAATAAGTTTAACATTAATATTTTTTGCAATAAATTAAAATCAATTTAGAATATTAGGTTTTTGCTAACTTTTAATCATTTTATTTTATTTCCTTAAATATAAAAAACCAAAAAATATTTTCATTATTTAATTTAATTAAATTATTAATTTAGTTTATTTCCATAAATTCAAAAATAACAAAAATCTTTTCCTTAATAATAAAAAGAGTCAAAACCCTAAAAAATGCGCCGTCTTAATTTTTCGCACGCGATCCATATTTCCAATATTGTAATTGCTTCCGGTATGTAATAATT